AGTTACTAAGACATGATTGACTAAAACGAAGAAATAAAAAATATAAGTTATCCAAATCATCTTGAGGCAAGTAGGGGTTTAACACATCCTACTGCTTGTGGATTCATCACAGGACTGCGAGAAAAAAATTTCTTAATCACATGTACATAACAGAAGTGAAACCCTGATGTCAGATATCATTTTCTGATATAATTTTCATTTTAAATGGCTAGCTCTGATACTGGGGTGAGGTGCTATGAAACTTTGTAATTAAAATGTTGATCATGAATGCATCGGTGCTGAGAAATGGACAAAACTGGTCCAGGGCTAGTGATATTTTGCCACAGAATTAAAATATTAGAATTCTTTAAAAAGCTCCAGATATCGTTTTAATTCTTTCTGGGCAAAAAATACCAATTATGCATTCTATTGGTAATTCTAGATAATATATTTATGAATGTAAAAAAGGAACACTGACTTCTCCCTTTACTAAGTGGATGAGGAATACTATCTATTAACACTAAAGGGAATACTAAAGTATCTAGGAATACTAAAGGGATACTATCTATTCTTAGACCAAAGAAGGGGGTCACGAGCAGATCTTCATGTAATCAGAAATCAATTACTAACTCCAAAACTTGACTGTATATTATCATTTGAGAAGTTATAGTTGAAATTATAGAGCCAAAAGACTAAAAGGATAGGGGTTAAAAAAAAAAAAACTGTGATTTTAACCTTGAAAGAAAGTTTCATCGTCATCATCATCATCATCATCTGAACAGCTTATGAATCTAATGATAAAGCTAGAAACTGAATGTGAATGATGAAGAGGGTCATTTCTCAAAGAAAACCTCGATCAAAGTTCATTTTTCTATAAGCTCTTTCTATAAACACTTCAGCATTTTCACTTGCTTTCAAGATTGAGCCTTAACCCTGCTGCCTTGTTTTATTTCTGTCCTGTCCCCCTACAAGTTCCATGGTCTGGGCCCACTTCCCTGGCAGACTTACTTTATACTTTGCCCTAATTTTCATCCAGGGCTGGGGCTAAATTCTGTTCCAAGGCTCTGAAACATATTTCCAGATAGAACTAAATCCTTGAGGCCTGGATTCTAACACATATCTTCTGGAATGTAAGCCCCAAAGCTCGGGTAAGCACTCCCTCATTATTTCAAAAGAACAACTAAAATATCTTTATAATAAAGACCTTAGCATGATGGAACCCTGAAAAATTGAGAATGTTGTACCCATCTAGCTTACCTTCTACTGTGCACAGAAAGGGACCTCTTTCTCCAGTCCAACTGGGTTGTATGTTGTCCTCAAGATACAACAAAGACTTCCCCACTCCTGGGTTTTTGCTAATGTCATTGCCAAATGCTGTGCAAAGTACAAGTCCTTCTCTATCCCTGGACTACTGCTGGTTCTGCAGAGGACCCTTTCTAGTCCTCTCTCCTCTAAGTCACACAGCCTGATGCATATGTGTTTCTGGAGTCACATCATAGATTGTAACCTTGCCCTAGTATTCAATTCCTTCCTATTTAGCTTTCCCTAATCAGGCCTCAGTTCTACAATGAGACCATAAACTACATGAGGGAAGGAGGAGGCCTTCCACGTCTTTGGATCCTTTACAGTGCTTAGATCATATCTGGTCCCAACAGGGTATCATATTTTTGGTTGTTTTATTGGAAGAATCTACATAATAAGTCACCAATGGTCCCCCAAACCAAGACTGGACCCACAGAGGTTCTGAAAACATCCGATAGTACAGAGCAACGTCACTTAGGCAAAGAGAGTTCTTCCATGTGCCTGACACTCTCCTAAATGCTGGGCCTAAATGCACATGATAACCCTGTGATGTAACTACAATGACTTCCCTCATTTTTACAGATGGGGAAATGGAGACACAGAGTGATTGGGTAGTTGTTCAAGCTGGGAAAGAGAAAAGCTGGGATTCAAACCCACAGAGTCTGGTCCCCCAGGAGGAACAAAGGATGGCAGTCCTGTTTCTCGACAGGTGGGTAAGGGGACAGGTGCTGAGCTGGGAAAACCTAGGAACCAGTGAAAGAGCTGGCAAAATGTTTACCCTTACTGCTGTTGATGTGCATTGCTTAACAGAGCAAATATGTGGTAAAATAGATAATCATTTCAGTTCTTAGATAGGTTTTCTAGTTTCTTGTGGTTTCAGGTTGTTGATTTTTCAGATGCCATTTAAAATACATTCATAAAATGATTAGCTCAGAAATAACTGAGTCACTGTCTTTCCTCTCATCAGACATCTATGTATCTAATTAGAAACTGTCTTGATGTCTAATGATAGTATCATGGAGATAAATTATTTACAGTCTGTCATGACACAACCCTCTTCACCTGGTTAGAAAATGACAAATCATTAATATTAATGGCAAAAGCAGATGGTCTCTTGACTTCATCACAACTTGAAATAAAAAATGTTAGTTTTGGCAGAAAGGAACTATAATGTAGAACAACCACTGTCTGCATCAAATATAATCACATACCATTGTATAAGTCCCAGGCTGGGCATTGCCCAATCTGTTAATAAAATTAAATTTCAGTTGTTTGTTTGAGTGACTTTCGACAGAGGAACAGAACCATAGATAACCGAAAACCACTTTGGCATTGAAGCTATATATGGTCAAGATCTGGAAGGGAATAGTGAAAAATGACAAGTGTGAAATAATAGCTGCCTTTTTTAAAAAAAAAAGTTTATGTTCCTATCATAAATAAACATTGGGGGTAAAAAGAAAACACACATTGTTTGTGCCTATGAGCACACAGTGGTGCTCAGACAGGTAACTGGAATCTTCCTGAGCAGTAGCTGTTAATTCATTTCTGGACTCCAGGGAAGTCCCCTAGGAAGCAGTCCGGCCCCACTCTGGCCCTCTGCAGGCTCCACTCCTGGATTCTCATTCCAGTTTGCCTCATAAAATCACATGCGATGTCACTGGAAGATGCAGACAGAGCGATCACTTTCTGGGGCCGAAAGAAGGAGCACATGGCGGTCAATGCCACCCAAGAGTCTATCCACTTAACAGTCTAGGTGGAGTTCAGTAACCTAAAGTCAGGTTTGCTGGGAACCCCTGACAGGGGAGCACTGTGGCCTGCAGGCCCTTCAGGAAAGGCCATGTCATCTTCACGTGAGACTCACATAGAAGGCATGAGCATGGGGCGGGTGAGGGGGAAGGGGCACGGCCCACATCAGCCCCAATGATGCCAAATGTTGGTGGGTGGCTGTCTCCGGCAGGTAACTGCCCTTTCCTTACATCCTGGGTATTGTAGGCTGGGAAGTTGATTTAGTTTACTTCTATTTATTTATTTATTTATTTATTTAAATAATTAATTTTGAGGGAGGGCAGACAAAGTAAATAAAAGCGTTTAACTTTTTTTTTTCTTTTTAACCTGGAATCCTGAAGTCTTGAGGGTTACCAGAGAGATAAATAATTCTAAAATCCTCTTTAAATTCCAAATCCCCTTTAAATAGCAGGCTCCTCACTCGTCAGAGGTAGGCAACATTTTAAAAAAATTTGTGATTATTGAGTGTGTTTGGTTTTGGGTGCAGATCTCAAACCTCACTGATGGGATCAGTGTGAAGCACTTGCACGCATACAAAGTGACGAATGTCATGATGATTAACAGTAAAACAAAGACTCAGAAATGACAAGGCAAATTTCCCTCAAGCCTCTCAGTGGTTATTTGTGTCTGTAGGAGATTTTGTACGTTATGACACTATCTTTTCTTAATTTCACTAAAGGAAAGCTAACCAAATTCCTGGATTGTATTTATTATTTCAGCCTCAAAATGCCTTAGGGCTAATTCAGGCCTGGTTCAGTGGCAGTGGACTGTCTCAGAGGCCTCCTGCATGTTTCAGTAGCTTCTCTCCTGTTTATTTTACACTATTTTATAGTGTAAGCTATCTTGAGGCTCTTCCAATATTAGCAGGATTTAAATCTTAACAAATTGATATTTGAATAACAGAGGCAATCCGGACTGTGGAGTCTTGAATGATTCTGACAAACATCTCTATTTCGCATTTTCACATTATGCATGTTCTGTACACAGTGGCCTAGATCAGCGTCAATAAGAGCTAAAATAGTAGCAATGGCAGTAGAATATTTAGATTTAAGTGGCATTTTCAGTTTTGTAGCATTTTCATTTAAGTAACATTTTGTTTGCAGTTTTCCAATCTACTCTTGGAATAGTTCTAACAGGCAGGTAGGTTAGAGTGTTAGATCCCCTTTACAAATGGAGAAACTGAGTCACTAGAAGATTAAGCCTCCCAGGTGGTGGGGCCAGCACCAGAACTCGGTTTGTCAAAATCTGGCCAAATGAGTCAGCAACGGTGTGCCAGAGTAAGACTTCCAATCACAGTCTCATCAAACTTACTGGAAATGCCTTCTTATAACGCTTATAAGAGGGACATTACAGAAATCTAGAGTCATCTCTTTTTTAAAAAAAAGATAGCCAAAGGGCCTCCCCCATGGTGCAGCGGTTGAGTGCTGGGCTGCAAAGCTGCCCGCAGCTTCTGCAGCACCAGTTCGATCCCCAGGCGGCCAGGGAGAAATGCACATGGCGCGCAGACCTCTCCTGCCACCCGCTGCTCTTCTCAGCAGTGTACCTCAGTCCCTCTGCCTGTTCTGTTCCCCGCTCTGGCTCTGGTGAATTCTCTCACCCTCCCGCGCTTCTGACTGTATCCAGTGCTTGTATAAATAAATAAATAAGTCTAAAAAAAAAAATAGCCAAAGAGATTGCTCATCACTTCAATCAATTCTAGGACTGCAAGTGACAAGCGTAAGCAGTGCTCCAACACCCTTCTCCAGTCTCCTGTTATTTTGACAGAAGGCGTTATTCCTGAATAGCAATTTAACACCAAAATATTTATTTTGTCCTGTCATTGCTCATCACTTAAAATTCCAAGGAGTTGAATTTTTAGATACAGCAGAAGTAAAGAATAAAAATCACAAAGATACATTCTAACATGAATGGGAACAACAATTAAAAAGGCTTACCTTGCAGCCTTCACATGTAATGACACCATAATGGATTCCTGATGATTTGTCTCCACAGATCTTGCATGGAATAATTTCAATTTGAGCTGCAACAGAAGCACGCAACCAGTTAATTACATTTTCTTTTAAACACCTTATAAAAGCGTTCCCTGATCAGCATTTGTATAGTGAAAACTAATAACCTGCTAAACATTATACTGCATTAACTATTCATTGCTGAACTGTGAGGGTCCCCCTAGAGCCCTGGACTAAATTATGGCTGCTCGTTATATAATAGCTTTCGGGTTATTAAAATGGGTCATTTGAGAAGGTGTTTAAGAACCCACAAGAAGACTGGAATCAGCATTTCAAAGCCTTCAAGAACTGGAGAGTTCGCAGTTTAGGCCTCAGAGCAAAGCAGATACTAAAACGTTTCCTTCAATCTCATTTTCCATCATTATTTTTAAAAGGTCATAAATCTGTCTTGGCTGAGCACTGCAGCTCGACTGGTAGGGAAAAATGTACTCCAAAAAGACAAGACCACTTAGGAAAATGATTCAACTCAAAATATTAACAAGTTACATATGATGGTAACTTAAGAATTCCTTACCCATCTTTTTTTAATTAATATAGTTGCCATGTGTTAAAAATTAGTCCATTTGTGTACGATCAAAACCTTTCAGCCATAAAGTTAATAACTTCTCTGAATGTAATGATGATGAATCCTGACAAAAAGAATATGTAGCTTCTGAGTTCTTTACATTGAAAATTGATTTCCTGATACAGTATGCATGTGTCTCTATCCAACTGATTACTTAAAAAATGCTGCATGATGGAAGGCTAACAAAATATTAATATACATTGCACCAAAGTTCTCAAATATGACAAAGCATACTTCCAAGCAAATGCATTATTGTCTTGAGCAGAGTTGGAAAGAGCACAATTAAGGTTTAAAAAACAACCTAAGGAATAGAATAATTTTGCAAGACAAAGTACTTGACCCACCTATTAAAAAGAATTGATATGTGAAATAAAAAGACCAACGCTGAGCTGTATAGTTAGGATGGCAACGTTCACCAATTTACCTGAACTGTTCCATTAAGCGAAATTCATTTTCATTTGGGTGGAGTGTCAGAATATCAACTAAATTGCGCACACGAACACAACTGTAAGTGACCAAGTATATTTCCTTTACATAGTCCAGGCTCCATGCCTTACACACAGCAATGACTTGTTTAAAGAGTATGTTACACAATGTAACACACATATATGCACAGCACACATTTTCTTCCAGTGTAATCCCATACTCCGGGATAATTTCCACAATCACTTACTTTGGATTTGATGAGATGCAGTATCCCACACTTAGAAAGAACACATGTGAAATTACTAGGCTTAACCTCATTATAAATCATATGTACCTGTTAACTTCCTTTCATGGAAACTAGTACTGATACTATGGTGACTTTTAGAGAGAGTCCTCTTAGTGTTTATACACCGAGTTTCTTTGCTTGTCCAGATTTAGAGATTGGTTGAAATCTCACATCCAAAACATTTCCCAAAATCTCAAGATTTTCTAATACTACAATAATGACGTCTTTGTATACAATCTGTCTATTTTGACTCAATTGTATAAGGTCACATTTAACAAAATTATTGTCTACAAGTCTGCTTTCTCATCTTAGTGACTAGTTTGATTTCTTCAAGAAAAATTCTTTATGAATTCCTAAATCTAATTATACTTCAGACCTTTGGTCCTTCCAGTATTTTAAATATAGTCAAAGCAAAATTTTTGTTCCACAGTGTGGACAATTTTTGTTCCACAGTGTCTGCATCCTGAGAGAGAAAGGGAGAGAGTTATACCCAAAATTTTCCAGAGACTCACAGAAGCTCAGAGGTTGTAGAGAAGTTCTGAAACGTGATAGCAGCTGAGAGTGATTAGCTGGATTTCCCCATGTGAATTAACTCTTCTACAATGAGAACTGGTCCTTGCCTCCAACCTCTAAGGAATAATCAGGCAACACAAAATACTTGGACCATCTATTAAACAAAATTTATAAGTGAAAATAAGACTGACATTGAGCTCATGTCACACTTCGAGCTATAACCACAAAAATTAGACATAGACAAACCTTACTAGGTCTTAGAAATGAAGTCAGCATCAAAACTATCTGAAGCAATTAAAGGAACACAAAGGCAACACTTGGGTCTTTTAACAGTTATCTGCATTCCTTCTTAACAAAGGGGTGATTAAACACTCCTATTTAGTCTTTTATAAGACTATGAAGGTCTGGGGTAGGCCATCTTAGGAAGATGGCCTGTATCTGTATCTGAAACAAACTAAAATGATGTGTTACAGCTGTTTGGTCTGCCCGGACTCTTAGTGGATGACCCACCAGAAGTGAAATGATGATACGTAAGGTAGCACCCCAAATGCCCTGCTCCTGGCTCCTGTGATCCTGCATGTAACATGAGGTCTGGTAAGGAAGAGTGTGCTCATGACAGGCTGGCCCTGGAGAGTGCTTTTCTGCCCAGAACTTCCACCCAGTAACAGCTCAAGTCCCGCTTCCGGGAGGGGAGGAGTGGGTGGATGGTCGCTGAAGTGCAAACCCAGAGTTTAGAGCCACTACTGCACAGGACTGCTGCCCCAAGTCTGGCTCCCAGACTCTTGCTTCAGCTGCCAGGGTCTTTCAGATATGGAAGTTACTCATGCTGAGACAGATTTTACAAGATTTCAGAGGTCAAGGTGCTTAACATGAATGGACTCACTGTAGATAACCTGTATTTTTTTTTTTTGGTGGGACCCTCGCCAGTGGCCGGGGATCGAACTGGCGCTGCAGAGGCTGCCGGCAACCTCATAACCCAGCGCTCAACCACTGCGCCACCAGGGGAGGCCCAACCTGTATTTTTAAGCAAAGGTCCATTTGCTTAGAGCTTGCTCCCTTCTCTCCTCCCCCGGTGTGAGGGCTTAGTTCTGGGTAAAGTTGGCCAAAGAAGTCAGTATTATCTAGAACAAGCTTCATGAGTAATCTCATGCTAAGGTGACAGGAAAGTTTCTCCAAAGCAAAGTTCAGGTCTTCTGACTGGCCAGAAGAAAATATTTTACAAGCCTATCCCCTGAGTGGCTCTCATCTCAGAATTCCAAGTGCGCTTTAGGAAATAACAAAAATCCACCTGCTCCAAAAAGCAAACTCTCTGAATGTGATCTGATCACACATGTTGATATTTCCAGAAAGCAAATATTTGCAAATTGGAGAAGAGCACTATTCACTCAGTCTTCCATTTAATCCAACAATTCACAAAAGCTGCCCCCTCCACCTTTCAGTCAATTTACGGAATTCAAATATATCAATGAAAAAATAAATGTACTCAATGCCTTACACATTTTTTAAAAGGAAGGCAGTTAGTTCCATAAATTGGAGTTTTCAGTCTTTATAAGAGGGAAAAGGACAAAAATCCCTTTGCCCTTTGCTTTCCATCCCTCAGGCTTTTCCATTTTCTAACAGACACTGTTGTGTCTTTTCAAAATAATCTCTCTTTAACACAAATTATGAGTCTTGGCCCACATATCTACTGCACACATTAACTCAGCTGGTATTTCAAAGGATGAGTTCTGTCAGACACCACTACTGTCACAAGTATATTGATTAAATTAGTCCACATACATATTCATCACAGCAGAGAAGTTTATTGTGTGGCAGAATATCTGAAGCAAGACGCACACATATAATCATGAATTGGCTTAACAATGAACAATTTTGCTATGAAAAATTCTAATTTGCCCATATTTTCAGCTCTATTGCCTAAATAATTTGCTTTCTCATGCACCCTGAGTAATTCAAGCAGATACTCCACACCTGCAGAGGCAAATTTCTGCAGTTTCAAGAAGCTGACAACAAGTGGCAGTGGGGCGTTAGCAACCCTGGAATGCAACAAGCTAATGAGCCAAGTGGTCCTTGGGCTGGGCTGTGTTTGAGCAGCTATAAAAAGTTTGCTCTTTCCCTTTAATTATAAAAGGAACAAGCACATGGGTACTGGCATTCTTAATGCCTGTTTATTCCTTAGGACCTATTTTGGTCTCCATCCGAGACTAGCGCCCATTCTCTCAAAGAATTAAAAAAAGAACCCCACGATTATACAAGAGTTGGACCCACCACTTCGTTCTGTGAGTGATAATAATCTAATGTATTTACAATGATGAATAATATCTAACATGTATTTGTATTAACAATGTGTCAGGCATTATCATATTCATTTCCCCAACAACCCTAAGAGGTTGTAGGTTAGTAGTAGCAGCATTTTTCGGGTGAGAAAACTGACGATCAGCTTCAATAATTTCTTCGGTGTCAGAGAGCTTGCAAGAGGTCCAGTGGAGACTTAAGTACATCTTGTCTTTTTGTTAGACTCAACATTTAGGGTTTTCCCACCTTTCTCACCATGCTGCATGGTCAACCTGAATCATCCCAGTAACCAATATTGGGAGCATATTGCTCTTGTTATTCGACCATTAACTGAGTGTCAAAAGTCATCCCATGGGCTTCCCTGGTGGAGCAAGGGGTTAGGATGCAACCTATGAAGCTGTCCACAGCCACTGCAGCACGATTTTGATCCTCAGCCAGGGAGCTACACATAAGACTCAGCAGACCTCTCCTGTCCTGCCTGCTGCTCCCCTCAGCAGTATATTTCAGTCAATCTGCCTGTTCTGCTCCCCACTCTGTCTCTGGTGAATCCTCTCACCTCCCTACGCCTCTGGCCTGTACCCCAGTTCTTGTATGCATAAATAAATCTTAAAAAAAAGGAGACATCCCGTAAGTAGCTTGGTTAAAATTGAACACTACTTAGAACTGATGTCAAGATGTCATTCTGGGAGTTATCTGACTAATTTACAACCAGTAGTCATCACCAACCTTGTAGACCTGTCTCCATTTTATAAAATACCAAGAGTGTTGTTGACCGTACGTGACTGATGCCAAGATTTAACAATTCTTAAGGCTGTGCAAATAACTTCACCTCTAGGAGCCTCAGTTTTGTATTTGGAGATTCAATGATATGATGGATAAAGACTGCAGCACACATGATTATTTGACACATATGCACATCACACAGT